TAATACACGAGTTTCACAATTTGAGTTGAATTACTGAAATAAATGAACTTTTCCACGACATTCTAATTTATTGAGATGCACCTGTACTCTTGGTAAGTTAGACATTTTTACTGAATGAAGTATGATGCCCCTTAACTGGAATGCTATCCTTAAGTATGCACATACATATCACTAAAATGTACATTGAAGCGAATTTTATTCAGCCATAATTAGGCTACTCATGATAAGATTAATTTAGGACACTTTACATTTTTGTAGTATCATGTAGTCATGTAGTATATATTGTGTATGTAGGCCTATTTGTGTATATTTGTTTGTATCATCTGTTGAATGTTTGCACATCCTATCTTTGTCTTTTGTCTATTTAGTGTCAATTTGTCCTAAAGTGTCACTGTGATGCTGAAACTGCTTAACTGTTTACACTAAGATTTCCTGAGATACTGTTTTAAATTTTTTTCTGGTAGGTTGATTATGAAAACAGGGACATTGTATAGCCTGATAATGGAGAAATCAATCTCAGTCTATTCTTTCAATAGGTTAGCTATGTGTAGGTTTATATGTCTATATGTTTATATTTTTTATGTTTCATATGTTTGTTTATATATATTTAAATATGTAGCACTGTCAGTGTCATCCTGTAAAGCATGACATTTTGTTCCTTTGTAAGTCTACATATAGCGGAATGACAATAAAGCTCACAAAGCTCACTTGAACTTAAACTTGAACAGTAAATGTGTGCAGAACTGCATCCTGGTTTTTTTTTCAGTATGGATGTAATGTTGTTCCACTACAAGACATTAATTTTCAAAGAAGACAGACATTCTTAATCAAAGCTTTTCCTTTTCCGTTTCCCATATAATGTAGTCTCTGACGGGCCTAAGATGAGTTAAAAGTTTTTAGGAGATCTGTGAAAACCCTCTGGGGAAAGTTTTATTTACACATTGCACCTTAATGAGGTTTACCAGGTTCTTAAAGATGAAAGATGCCTCCAAAAAATATTTGTCAGTTTGTTGTAGGCCAGATTTAACTTCTGCAAAGCCACCAAACCACTGACGGCCCATTCTACACTTGTGTATTATATAGAATTTTGAGGTTGGACAGCTGAGAGAAATCTTCATTGTTTATCTTCTGTATAACACAAAGAAATGTCAGAATATGTAGCTTTGTCTGTTATATTCACTGGTTCCAAATCGAGGAAGCTTTTATTGCAGAACACCTTTATGTTTTGTGCACATTTCAAAGAAAATGGTACAATTCTTAACTGAGTATCTATTCACAAAATCTATGAATACACAACAGTAAAGTAGGAGTGACACAAAATCACAGAACTTAATTAAATATACACCATGCTTAGATATTTTGAGATTAACCCTGTTATATCTTTGTTAAAACATCCAGTTGGAATTCTCTTTTTTATTTTCATTACTTTTCTTCAGTTTGCCTACACCAGAAGTCTACACCAGTCTAAGTGCAGTATTAAAGGTGTTTTACTGTTATGCTGCAAATGTAATATTGATGCATTGTGAAATTAGCATATCTAAAATTCTCAAAATTTTCAGGAATTTTTAATGTTGGTATGGGTTTTGTTCATGTGTTTGTCTTTTATTTTGTATTCATGTTCACAGTATAGTTCCTGGTTTGTCTTGTGATTCTCCAGCAATTAGTCTCTGTATTTAAGCCCTCAAGTTTGCCATGGTTCCTTGTTGTGTATATTGTTTCTGCACCACTGTTGGTGAATCTTCTGTGTTCACGTTTATTTATTTTCTAGTCAAGTCCAAGTTAAATTAGTCAAGTCAACGTGTTGTTTACATTTTATATTCCTCTAATAAATTGGGTTCTTCACTTCAGCTCTGGGTTAAAGGTTATTTTGTTAGTACGTATGCTGTTTTTTTAGTGTATTTATTTGTTTGTTTGTTTATTCGTTTTTTTTGTTATTTATTTGCTCTAAATCCATTTCTTTTAGATGTGTCTCTTACTAAGATCTTATTTACTGTATGTTTGATCATGTAACATCTGACATCTGCTTGACCTGCACATTACCTGTTTTTAATTAAACCTACAAAGTTTGGTTCAAAATTCTAATATGAACCTATTTAAAAGTAATGTAATGTAGGCCTACCGTATATGAATTGCACATACTCTCATATCACACAAAACAATTAGACAGTATTATAGTAATCAGACAATATGAGCCATTTTTTAGCTTTATCTATGTAGCACTAGATAAAGCACAAGCTGTACTTAACCAAAACAGCACTGACAGACTCTTATATAAGTAAACATAACTAAAATACGTTACTTGTGGGAAAGTATGTATTAAAATTATAAAGTTGACATACTTTTAAAACTTTTCTTTAGTGGTCTACAGTTAAATACATTTGTTTGTGATTGTTTCATTGCCTGGTTTGTGAATCAACAATTACCAATATTAGTGTGTTCTTGTTAGTTCATGTGCAGCTACTCAGAAAAAGCCAAAGAAAGGACATAAACTCCTGCATACTGAAGCAGATGTATTATAGTTTTTATTAGTGTATTATAATTTTTTTCATTTCCACAAACACTTGCCTCTGACCTTTCTCAGTTCAGAGAGTTGCTTTAAGTATGATTCAAATATTTATCCTATCTATTTTTAACTAAGGAGCTGTGTGATTAAGGAGCTGCTTCTTCAGATAAAAGATAGGGTCAACTGCCTCTGTAGTTGACGGTCTTCTGGTAAATGATACCCATGACATCCAATGTTATTCACTTCTTTTATGTAATATATTTTGGTTAGAGATGCGGTGTATGGAACATATGGAATATACATGGATGTAATCTGACAAATAGATTTACTGTACTGAATAGGCTTTAAATGGTCTTTGTTGTATGTGTTTTTAGCCTGTTTTTGTTCTGTAAATCTGTGATGAAACTGATTGTACTGCTGTCCATTTTGGCCTGGACACTCCTATGAAAGAGATGTTTAATCTCAGAGATGCTATCCTGGTTAAATAAAGGTTAAATAAAAAAAATTAAAAAAATTAAAAACTGAAATTAAAAATGTGTTCTCTTTGAAAACAATCATGCAAAAACAATATAGCATGCCCTAATGTCCATAAATGTTGTTACTGTACAAATACCTAGGACAATAAATATATGCCAGACAAATGTAATTTTATTAGTACAAGAAATGCATCAGAATCATTAAGCAGCTTGTAACAATGACTGATAATCAGAAACCCCTCTGCTTTCTATTTTGTATACCGATGATTGTAGGTCCACTCAAACCAATTGCCATTTAGTTAAGTTTGCTCACAGCAGCATGGCCCAGTTCTTCAAGAATTTGTTGAGTGGTGTGATAACACCAGTTTGGAATTAAATGTGAGCAAGTCTAAAGAGATGGTAGTAACCTTTTCTAATAAGCAGAGGCAGAAGGCTTTGGCAGCCACTACTGTAATTCATGGAAAGCCTATTGAGATTGTTGAGAAGTACAAGTACCTCGGTACAATTTTTGACAATCTGTTGAAATTTACTTCCAACACAGAGGAGATATTGAGGAAATTCCAACAGCGACAGTACCTTTTGAGGAAGCTCAACTCCTTTGGTGTCAGTAAGAAGACTCTCACTACGTTCTGCTATTCTTACATAGAAAGTGTCATTACATTCGCTATTGTCTGTTGGTTCCATTCTATCAGTCTTCAAAATAGAAATCGTTTGGATCGTACCGTTAAAGTTTGCTCAAAAATTATTGGACTTCCTGTCAGGACTACTGTGAGTGAACAGCAAATGCTGAGGTTAGCTGGCAGGATCATCCTTCACATGTCCTGTTTTCTGTTTTCAAGTGGCTCCACTCAGAACGATGGCTTAAAGGGTTAGTTCACCCAAAAATTAAAATTAGCCTGTGTTTTACTCACCCTCGAAGCATCCTAGGTGTAAATGACTTTCCTCTTTCAGACGAATCCAATCAGAGTTTTAATAAAAATTGTCCTGGCACTTCTAAGCGTTATCATTGCAGTGGGTGGGTGTTTCTGTTCAACAGTCCAAAAACACGTTAAATAAAGCGTGCCTCACACGGCTCAGGGGCATGAATAAAGGCCTCCTGTAGCAAATCCATGCATTTTTGTCAGAAAAATATCCATATTTCAAACGTAATAAACACTTTTCTATCACTTCCGCTATCTGTCATATGCAGAAACGTTCCGGCGGATGACGTGGGACGTATGCGTCGCGCACGCGCCTCTGAGAT